TGGAACTTGACGTCGATGTGCTTGCTCCGGTCGTGGAGAACCGGATTCTTCACGAGGGCAATAGCGAGCTAGTTGTCCACCATCAGCGCTGGTGGTTGAGCTTCCACACCGGTCAGCTCGCCCAGCAGCCGGCGCAGCCACACAGCTTGGCACGCCGCTGTGGCCACCACCACGTACTCTGCCTCGCACGTGGACAATGCCACCACCTTCTGTTTCAGCGACAACCATGAGATTGAAGCCGACCCAAGGAAGACGAGCACGCCAGAGGTGCTCCGCCGTCCGTCGTTGTCCCCCGCCATGTCTGCATCGCTGAATACAGTGAGCTGCAGCCAACTTCCGGCGGTCTTGGGGAAGATGATCCCCTGATCTACCGTCCCCTTGACGTAGCGCAGCAGCCACTTCACTGCTGCCCAGTGATCCTCTCTGGGATCCTCCATGAAGCGGCTGACGTAGCCCACGGCGAACGCAATATCCGGCCTCGTGTGAACTAGGTAGCGCAGACCATCGACGATGCTCCTGTAGAGTGTTGCATCTACCTTCGCCGCAGTACTGGCCTTCATCAGCTTCAGCCGCTCCTCCATCAGAGTCACGCACGGCTTGCACTCAGCCATGCCGCTCCGCTCCAATAGCTTCAAGGCGTACGCTCTCTGACCGAGCGTGAGCGCCTTCTTCCCTTGTCTCACCTCGATGCTAAGGTAGTAGGAGATCGTGCTGAGATCGCTCATTCAAAAACAAGCCACCATCTCACGCTTGAAGCTGTCGATGTCCTCCGCACGCGTGCCAGTGAGGATCAAGTCGTCCACATACCCACCGACGACGAGCTCCTCCTTCCACCATCGTCGCGTGTAGAGCGCGTGCTCGGTTGCACACCGTGTGAACCCAAGCTCGCCCAGCGTGGAGTCAAGCTTGGCGTTCCACGCTCGTGGGCCCTGCCACAGCCCGTAGAGCGCCTTGCGCAGTCGGAGCACCCTATGCTCCGCTCCCTTGATGGCGAAACCCAGAGGTTGCTTGATGAAGACCGTCTTCGCCAGCTTGCCGTTGAGGAAGGCCGATTTTATGTCCAGATGATGGACGCGCCAGTCCTTTGCTGTTGCTAAAGCCAGAAGCAGTCGGACAGACTCCATGCGCGCTACCGGCACAAAGACTTCCTCGAAGTCGATTCCCTCGCGCTGGACAAAGCCTCGGGCAACGAGGCGCGCCTTGTACTTGACAATGGCGTCGTGCTCGTCCCACTTGACCTTGTACACCCACTTCAGGCCGATCGGACGGCATCCTAGAGGTGGATCGACGAGCTCCCAAGTCTCGTTTTCCTCGACCGCCTTCATCTCCTATAGCATCGCCCATCGCCAATTTGCATCGCGCTCGACCAGCGCGAGCGTGGGTGGTTTCTCTGCATTGACGAGAAGCGGCTCTGGGTCAATGAGCAGCCGACCCGCCAGGCCTGAGGACCTTGTACCACCGACGATATCATCCAACCTATGAAACCACACCTCCTCACCATCGTGGAAAGCATCCACGAACTATGTGATGTCGCTTGGAGGTGAGGCGAACTCGGTCGGCGTCGATGCAGTTCTCTGTTCCGCCAGAGTGATCGGCACGGCACCTAGAGTGCTCTGCACCCCGACTGCAGTGCTCGGCACTACTCCTAGACTGCTCGTCACCACTCCTTGAGTGGTCGGCACCAATGCAGGAGTGCTCGGCACCAATCTTGGAGTGGTTGGCACCACTGCAAGACTTCTTGGCTCTGCTATAGGAGCGTTCGGCACCCGTCCTGGAGTGGTCTGCACCACAGCAGGACCGCTCGGCACCCCTCCCAGAGTGCTCGGCACCCCCCATGAGTCCTCGGCTCCGTTGCTGGAGTGATCGGCACCTCCTCTCCAGCGTCTCCACCACCGTGGATGACCAAGTGCTCGATGACGAAGGTGCTGGTGAAGCCGCCAGCTTCTCCCGTGCATGGACTGTCCCAGTCCTAGGCTGCCTTCTCGTCGAACATGGCGTTGCGCGAGACAAGCACCTTGCCTCCGCATGGGTCGTAGAGCCGGTATGCCTTGGTACCTTCCGCGTAGCCTAGGTGCACCATCGGTGTGCTCCTGTCCTCCAGCTTGGTGAGGACCGGCTTCATCTTCCTGACGTGGCCGATGCAGCCGAATGTCTGGAGGAAGGACACGCTCGGCTTGCGCCCATACCAATCTTCAAACGGCGTCTTACCCTTCAGGGCTTTGGTGGGCGCGCGGTTGAGGATGAACACTGCCATGGTCACCGCCTCACCCCAGAACCTTGTCGGCATGCCCTTGGCCTTCATCATGGATCGGGCCATTCCGACCACTGTCTGGTTCCGTTGCTCCACCATGCCATTCTGTTGTGGCGAGTACGGCGCAGTGTGGTGTCGCACCACACCCTGATCCACGCAGTACGCAGCGAACTCCACCGAAGTGAATTTGCCGCCGCGATCAGTCCTCAGCACGCACAGCTTCTTGCCGCTCTCGGCCTCCGTGAGCATCTTGAACTTCTTGATCATCGCCGCTTCATCCTTGCTCGTTAGGAGTTGTAGACACATGTAGCGACTGCAATCATCCACGAGTAGGAGGAAGTACCACCGACCACCGTTTGTAGCTGGCGTGATCAGCCCGTAGAGGTCACCGTGGATGAGCTCGAGTGCGTCCTTCGCGCGATACTTGGCCGCCTTTGGGAATGGTAGCCTCCTCTACTTCCCAGCTAGGCAGCTGTCACACAGCTCGCCTTCGTGTTTAATGTGGGGTAGCCCTCGGACCGTCTTCTCCAGTCGACCAAGCGCATCAAAGCTGAGATGTCCAAACCGGGCATGCCACATCCATGATTCCTCGGTGTGCCTTGCCGCCAGGCACACCGGCTGCTCTACCTTCAGGTCGAGCAGGTACAACCAGTTCAGGGACCTCTTCACCTTGGCGAGAAGTCACTGCTCCCGGTCCCTGATCCTAAGGACTCTGTCCTTGATCAGTACCTCGCTACCGCGCTCATCCAGCTGACCAATGCTGATGATGCTGGAACGCAGCTGCAGGATGTAATATACATCCGTTAGCGCGCGGTGCTCCCTGTTCTAGCACCTGAAGATGATGGTGCCGCGCCCTTGGATAGCTATCCTTGAGCCATCACCAAACTTCACCGTACCGGTAACATCGTCGTCGAGCTCGGAGAAGGATGCCTTGGAGCCCGTCATGTGGTTGCTGGCACTAGAGTCCAGATACCACCGTCGCTCCTGGTTGGCGCCCACACGTCCGATGTGGACTTGGGCGCGTGGTTCGTCGAGGTTAACAGCCTTCAGGGTCTTCCCAGGTCCTTCCACCGTCATCGCCTCTTCCCTCTCCTCGGCTTCGACGTCGTGCGGTGCACAGAACGTCGCCATTAGGATAGTGGCCTCATCTTCATCATCAGCTTGCACCAGATGAGCCTCAGCCTTCTTCTCATGCTTGCAATTTGGGCACTCCCGTGCCCAATGGCCCATCTTCCCACAGCGCCGACAGGTGTTGGGGTCGACCTGCTTCTTCTTCTCTGAGGAAGCCTTGCCGTGGCGCTTACCATCGCCACCGCAGCTGGAGGAGGCTGCCTTCCTGGAATTCATCCGAGCATCCCACTCCTCTTCCATCAGCAGCAGTTTGCCGCTGTCCTTCGTTGTTGTCGCCTGCTCTAGGCGCTCGTCCACCGCCCGCAGACGGCCCGTCACATCCTCAATGGTGAGGGTGGACAAGTCCAGCATCGTCTCTATAGAGAGAGCGATCTGGATGTACTTTGCCGGCACGGAGTGGAGGTACTTGGAGACCGCCTCTTCTTCATCGATAGTGACGCCATGGTTCTTCAGCTTGCTTATGAGCATCTGTAGGTGGAGGGAGAAGTCCTCCATCGTTTCATCATCCTTGAACTTGAGGTTGGCGTACTCCTGCTTCATAAGTTGGGCCGTTGCCTTCTTTGCGTGGTCGGAACCGATGCGCATCGCCGCAATAGCCTCTCACATCTCCTTAGCAGAGCTCTTCGCCCCCAACGGCTCAGCAGCAATGATAGCCTCCAACGTTGACATATCATCTTCCTCATTGTCGGTGCCCTTGTCAATAGCATTCCAGAGCCGTCGGGCTCTGAGCTTGACCTTCATGGTCACCGACCACTCTCCATAGTTGGTGCGAGTCAGCATCGGCCAATTGGTGCCGCTAACCTCCCGCACCGTGCGAACAACGACCTCCGGTCCTGGCTGGGCTGCCACAGCAGTGCCACTGCTGTCGCCCAACTTCGATCCGCCTGTCATCGCCAGCGGTTTGTTTGGCGACGGCGCTTGTACGACTCTGATACCACCTGTTAGCCCTCGGGATCACCGGCTTAGGTGAGTGAACCATTCACCAGTGTTGCCGAGCACTCACTAGTTAAGCCTACCATGAACAAGTGTTGTCCGTCCCCACACACTATGGCTAGAGGTTGAAGAAGAGAGAGAACAGAGCATACACACACAGTACAAGACACCAACGTTGGCCGAAGTCCTGTATGAAAGATGGCAAATCTGAACTCTCTTTACTGAGTTACCGTGGTAGTCTATTTATATAACACTATCCATCTAGTCCTAGTATAGCGCATATGCTGTAACAGTAACTAGATAACACAGCAGGACTGACTTCTGCGCCTGTCCCTGCATGTGGCTACAGAGCATAGGTGAGCCCTTCGACGCCTGCCTCTGCAGCGGCTACAGTACAGCAGAGGGGATCTTTTCGACGCCGTCTTCACTTACTGTGTGTTCACATAAGAAAGCAGTAGATTATTCTAACAGTTTAGCCCCTTGGCGGCGGGAAAACGAACATCAGCATGGTAGCAAATTTAATACAGCTTTGTGTACATATAGACTTCTAAGTATCTCCAGAATAGTTTCGTGGTCTATCGCTATGCAGACTGAGAGAAAATTAGTCCTCTCAAACTGTATCAAAAAACAATACATTAACTACAAATTTCACTTGTTGAGCTTCAAACCTTTGCACAGGCAAACATCACTTCTGGTAGTCTGTTAGCTTGCTTACTGTGATCTGTCTGAACGGTTCAGAAAGATAAGCCTGAGTGTGAGCTGATATCTCCTGAGCAACTGATCGCATGGAAGGCCGCGATTCAGGATTTGCCCGTGTGCAAGCGAGCGCGATTCTGACAACGAACACAATTTCTTCTGCAAGGTCACCCGTTGGAGGTTCCAACCGCTGGTCTAGTGTGTCCTGGAGTAATAAATCTTCTTCTGTGGAAGAGGAGATAGCCGACAGGGAGGTTAAGAGGTCACTAGGATGCTTCCCCATCATCACCTCCAGAGCAACCACTCCAAAGCTGTAAACATCGCATTTCTCTGTGACGTTCATTGTGTATGCCAATTCTGCAAGAGTAAAACCAGAGCTGCCACAAGTTAGTATGCTGCGTCGTGATACATCATCAAGCAAAGTGCGTCAGTAGTTAGTGCTAATGTAAACATCTGAATTCATAACATTACTTTTCGGCAATAGGAGGGATCTTAGTTGTTACTGGTGTACTTAATAGCTCAGATCAGGTGTTCTGTATTCAAGTAAAATCTGTAAAACTATATGCTCCATGAACAGTAGCAGATGCAAGATTTACCTGGAGCCATATAGCCATATGATCCTGCTACAGAAGTCCAGTTTGTAGAAGCAGAGCCAAGCAGCTTCGCCGTGCCAAAATCAGACAGCCGCGGCTCAAATTCCGACTCAAGCAGGATGTTGTTCACAGTGATGTCACGGTGAACAATGGGCTGGCTACAGTCATGGTGGAGGTAGGCCAGGGCATGAGCAACCCCCTGGACCACCTTCACCCTCCTGCCCCAGTCCAGCTTCTTCTTGCCCTCTTCCCCGTACAATGTCTTCCCCAAGCTGCCCCTCTCCAGGTACTCATACACCAGGTACATGTAGTCTCCACTCGTGCAGAAGCCATGGAGCTTGACGATGTTCCGGTGACGGACCTCTGTCAGTGCCTTGATCTCGTTCTCGAAGCTCTTCCTGCTCACTTCTGATATGTCTCCTGTCTCAGCCACATGGAAGCGCTTCACGGCCACGACCTGCCCACTGGGGAGCTCAGCCTTGTACACGCTCCCAAACCCGCCTTTACCGATGCAGAAGAATTCATTGAAGCTGTCGGTGGCATTCACGATGTCGAGGAATGTGAATTTCCCTTCCTTCTCCCAGATCACGGATTCATATGGATCGTTTGTGCTTGCCTCCAACACTTTCTGTTCCCTGGGTCTCCTGCATGCTAGGATGAGGCAAGCAACAACGCCTGCCAGCAACACTGCCCCAACTACTGAGAAAACTATTTCAATGACCGTTCTCTTGTGATGCCCTGAAGCGGAGCTGCGGTCGCAAGAAGGAATGCCTTGCACATTGCCGCAAAGCTCTAGGTTCCCAATGTAAGCCTCAGCCGAAGAGTTCTGGAAAGCATTGCCCAACGGTATTTCACCAGTGAGCTGATTGTAAGAAAAATCAACAATCTCCAGGCTCGACATGCGAGAGAAACTTGCTGGAATTGAACCATTGAGCTCATTGTGTGACAAATTCAGTTTCTGTAGGTTCGCCAGCTTCACAAGATTTGAAGGGATAGGACCGGACAGTGAGTTACTGCTCAAATCAAGCAGGGTCTGCAGCTGAAACAGGTTACCGATCTCACTTGGTATCTGCCCTGACAAATTGTTCTTGCTCAAATCAAGATAGGTTAGTGAACCAAGATTGCCAATGCCCACTGGTATGGTCCCATTAAGCATGTTCCCTGACAAATCAACTTTCTGCAGTTTGGAATTGTTGCCCAAACTTGTCGGAATCGGCCCGGAAAAGGAGTTATGGCTCAGGTTGAGATTGAACAAGAAGTTGAGATTACCCAGCTCAGGTGGAATAGCTCCTGCCAAGTTGTTCGCAGCCAAGCTGAGATCCTGCAAGCTTGTCATGTTGCCAAACGCCGCTGGAATGGCGCCTGATATGCTGTTGCCATCCATCTTCAGGCGTGTGATCTTGGTGTATTGTCCCCAATCATCTGAAAGCCGACCAGTCAGCTTGTTCCCGGAGATGTCCAGGTAGTCCATGCTGGGGTGGACCCCGAACACCTCCGAGATGTCGCCGGTAAAATGGTTCCCCTCCAGCCGCACCCGATACAGCTCGGAGCAGTTCTTCAAGCACGGCGGCAGCTTGCCGCTGAAGTTGTTGTGGTTCGCCGTGAAGTTATTCAACGCGAAGCCGTCGCAGAGTCTCTGCGGCAGCTCGCCGGAGAAACTGTTGTTGGCGAAGCTCACATAGGTCAATGCCAACCCTGCGCCGAGGTCCGGTGGGACGGTACCACTCATGTTGTTGTCGAACACTGACAGGTACTGGAGGTTCCTCAGCAACGAGATGGTGGAAGGCAGCTCGCCTTCCAGGTCGTTGGTGTTGACGTCCAAGATTTGCAGCGCCGTCATGTTGCTGATCTCCGGCGGGATCTTGCCGGTGAGCTCGTTGAAGAAGAGCGCCAGCCGCTTGAGTTGCTTGAGGTTGCCGAACGAGTTTGGTATCGGTCCGCTGAGCGAGTTCACCGACAAATCCAGTTCAGCCAGGTTCACCAACCCGCCGAGCTGCGACGGGATCTCGCCGGTGAGGTTGTTGCTGTAGAGATACAAGATTAGCAGCTTCGTCGCCTTGCCAACCTCAGGTGGAATGGTTCCGGTCAAAGAGTTCGTCTGCGCTTGAAAGGATATGAGCTCCGGCCAGCTCGCGAACAGCTGCCCTGGGATCTCGCCGGTGAGGTTGTTGAACGATATGCCGAACTCCCGCATCCTCTTCATCCCGGCGAAAGACGCCGGCAATCCCCCAGAGAGATGGTTAATTGAGAGATCGACGAAGTTGAGGTTGCTGAGGCTGCCGAGCTCCGGCGGAAGAGTGGAGACCAGACTGGCGTTCTTGACGACGAGACGTTGCAGCATCTTGAGCCGGCCAAGAACCGGCGGGAGCGACCCACCGAGTGGGTTGCTGCCGAGCTCAAGGACCCTCAGCTGCGACATGGACCCGAGGAAGTCTGGGACGCCGCCAGTAAGGTTGTTGCCGCCAAGGTGCAGGTCCCTAAGCATCGTCAGCCTCGCGAGCGACGCTGGGATCCGGCCGGAGAACGCGTTGGCTGACAGGTTGAGCCACTGCAGGTTCGGCAGCCGCTCCGGCAGCGCGTCCGGGATCGGACCGGAGAAGCCGTTCTGCGACAGGTCGAGGTAGGTGACGTTGCCGCTCCTGAGCACGAACTCCGGGAAGCTGCCGTTGAGGTAGTTGAGGGAGAGCGAGAGGAACTCCACCGTGGGCATCGGTGAGAACGGGGCGCTAGTCAGGTAGTTGAACCCCAGGTCGAGCTGGACGATCTTTGGGAGCCTGCTCAGCTGATAAGGGATATCGCCGACGAGGTTGTTGTTGAACAGGCGGAGTTCGACGAGGCCCGAGAGGTCGCCGAGCTGCGGCGGGATGGTGCCGTTGAGCCCGTTGCTGCCCAGGTCGAGCGTGGCCAGAGCGCGCAGCTGCGAGAACGACGCCGGGATGGCGCCGGCGAGGTTGTTGTCCTTGAGGTCGAGGGATGTGAGGCTCGGGAACGCGGCCGGGTCGAGCGCGTCCAGGCCGCCCGTGAGGCCGAGCCCGCGCAGACGGAGCGACACGACGCGGCCGGCGGCGTCGCAGGAGACCCCGAGCCAGGTGGTGCAGATGTAGACCTGGGTGGCGTTCGTCCACGTGGACAGCGCCGCCGGGTTGCCCAGGCTCGACTTCCACGCCAGCAGCACGTCGGCTGGCGACGGCGGCGTCGCAGCATTGGCATTGGCAGCGACGACGGCGAGGGCAAGGATGGCGAGGAGTGGGGCCGCGAGGAGGAGGCGGGCGTGGGCGGGTGGTGGCGTCGGCATTGGCTGGGTGGCAGAGCGGAGCGCGGCGTGCCCGTGTCTGTGAGGCGGTGAGCATGTGGTGGTCTTGACTCTTTGAGCTCGCGGCGCGCGCGGGCGCGGCTGGCTAGCGGTCAATGCAGTGGGTTGACTTGCGAGCACATGCAGTGCTACGGCTGGGAGGAAGCGGAGTGAACGGGAAAAGGGGCAGCGGCGCACTTGCATTTTGGTCAAGTATAGCGTGCGATGCCGGTTCTCATTCTCGATAAAAGATTAGTTCCGAGTTCTTTAATAAAAACGCTTAAAAGAATGTCTTATATCGGCTATTTATCAAGAAAAATGATTATACTATTATAAAAGATGGATAATTTGTCACAAAATGACCATAAAAATAGAGTACATCAAAAACTGATATAGTTATCTTCTTTCTTCGATTATCCGTGGTCTGTCAGAATTTGAAAATCGCAATCAAAGAACAACGAGATAAAAAGGACACCTACAAACACCATTGTCATGCAAGACTTTTATGGCCCCAAAATCCACTTGCCGCTAGGATTATATCTAGTAACGAGTGAAAAAAAACAACGACTAACAAAAACCCCCAAAATAAGATTATGATTTTCCACCACTAGAACAAATTGTTGGAGAATCAAACCTTGTCATAGATAGAACAAACAAAATGAATAGGCTAAAATCATTGCATCGAAATCAAACCAAGTATTTATCATGATAAACACACCGAACTGATTAGATTTCGCAGAGAGCCAACATGTCTAAGGAAAAAAAACATACTCTAACTTCTACTACCCCTTTATTTCAGATTATAAGACGTTTTGACTTTTCTAGATATATGACTTTTTTATGCGTTTAGATAGCAAAACCAATTTATGTAGAAAAGTCAAAATATTTTTATAATTTAGAATGTAGGGAGTATATTATTCTAAGTTTGGCTTAAACCTGATCCGTATATAAGGTATATTGGTGTGCTGAGAAGGTATGATGGTTCAATTACGTGATTTTTGACATGGAATAAAATGGCAAGCCTTGGAAAAGCTCGATTTGTCATCCCATTCCGGATTTGTGGTTGTTATGGTCACGGTGCTAGTCCACCCACGAAAGGGAGGGCTATGGTATTGCTTGAGGTGCACAAGCAGCGAACCATCGTGAACGGCATTTGTGATGCATGATTAAGGCATGTTTAGTCAGCCCCTCCTAAAGTTTAGTCAGCTTAATCTAGTCTCATTTAGTTACTTTTCACCAAAACACTATAAATAAATAAGACTAAATGGGCTTTATCCAACTAGTCACCAAATTATTGTTAAAAAGGACTAAACCTCATATTTTAGTCACTTTGGAGCCAAATACCATGACTAAAAGGGAGTAAAAGGCCTCTTTTAGTCACTCAAACTAAACACCCAATGACTAAAGGTGACTAAAGTTTAGGAGGGGGAAACCAAACATGGCCTAATGCGGTATACCCTCGTCCAGCAAAGAGTGAAGTTCTTGTTTTGTTCTAAGCTAAAATATTTTAGGTTTAACCAACTTTAAAGAGTAGATTATCCATGCATATTATTTTGAAGGGAAGATTATCAACACATATAACACTAAATAAATTTAAAGATATATTGCATTATATGCATGAATCTGATTGTATCTATTTAATATCACAAATATTATTGTTTTTTATATAAACTTAGTTAAACTTACGGTTGTTTGACTTGAGATAAAAATCTTTGCGGGACTTTGGTAGTTACTACTACTAGTTTATCCGGCCCAGGCCAGGACGAGCACAAATAAACTAGTTTCCAGCATATGTCTTACAACTTACATACTTCATCATGTGATCATGTTCGAAAAGTACTAGAAACATAAATCCATTGACACAGGAACCGGACAGGCGGACAGCAGTGTTATTCGCTGGCCCATTCTAAAAAAAAAATCTAAAAAAAAACGTAACTACCCCTTAACGTACGCCTAATGACCTAACCCAACCATCATCTTACGTCGTTCCTCTGGACGTGCAGTGACGCGCTTTGTTGTATGCGGAATGATGGTCTCCCAAGTTGCAGTTACTAGAAGAACGTCTAAAAATCCATTGACACAGGAACCGGACAGGCGGACAGTAGTGTTATTCGCTGGCCCATTCTAAAAAAATTCTAAAAAAACCGTAGCTACCCCTTAACGTACGCCTAATGACCTAACCCAACCATCATCTTACGTCGTTCCTCTGGACGTGTGCAGTGACGCGCTTTGTTGTATGCGGAACGATGGTCTCCCAAGTTGTAGTTGCTAGAATAACGTCCCGCGAGTTGCGGTAGTGACATTATACTACTTATATACTTATATACGACGTGGATGATTTTTAGTATTCTGATATGGATAACTAAATATATGTTAGTAAATGATGTGGTTCGGTAATGTAAATAGCTTGAATAAAGACATCTTTCTCTTATAATTCGTCTTTTTCAGCTTGTTTTTTTAGCCAGAATAGTGTTTTTCTCTCACAACAAATTAGCTGGAACAGTGTTTCGGTTTGTTTTTCAGCAAAGTGAACAGGGCCATATTGGCATGTGTTAGTTGGATATGTTAGTGGATGCTGACGTGGACACTTTGTATGGCGAGATAGTTGAATGTGCTAGTAAAATGTCATAGTGAATGTTGATACGGACACTTTATATCGTAAAATAAATTGCTAGTGGGTTTATGATGGGAAATTCAGCTAGCGTCCCCAACCAATGCTCCCAGGTACAGCTGCCGCCCGCATGCTCCCAGACTGTTCAGCTGCTGTTTTTAGAGGGTGTTTAGTTGGTGAGTTAAAAAATTTTAGGTGTCACATTGAATGTGTCAGAAGAATGTCGGGAGGAGTTTTTGAATACTAATAAAAAAATAAATTACAGAACCCATTAGAAAACTGCGAGACGAATCTAATGATACTAATTAATCGGTCATTAGCACATGTGGGTTACGGTAGCACTTAAGGCTTTTTATGGACTAATTAGGCTTAAAAGATTCGTCTCGCGATTTCCAACCAAACTGTACAACTAGTTTTTTTTCGTCTACATTTAATGCTTCATGCATGTGCCGCAAGATTCGATGTGACATTTTGATTGAAATTTTTTGAAACTAAACAGGGCCTTAGGCCAGTCTCGGTGGAAGATTTTATATCACAGTTTCCAACACAGCCACGTCAGCTTTACAGATTGAAATTGAAGAATGAAATTACCTCTCTCAACGTGCAGTTTCATTTCACGATTTCATAGGCTTTCTGTGACATTTAATTCTTGTATGGTACTGTGATCAAATGTGCCATGCGATTTGTGTAGCCATTTGGCATCGTATCTAAACTAAGTATATTAACATGCTGGAACATGACCATGTTGGCAAATAAATCATGCCTACCTAGCAAAAACGTCCCTCAGCTCTGGACTTGTCAATCAAATCAAATAAAAAAGAATGGAGGCCTTATCCTCCCTTTCGTTGGATGCTTTTTGTCCACTCGTGAACACCGGCACAACCGCCGCCGCTCTTGTCCGTCATCTCGTACGGCATGGTTGGAGGCACGGCAGAATACGTCGCCGTAGCTGCGGGGCACATGGAGGTGCCAAGATGGACGATGGACCGACCTCACCACCACCGCCGCAAGGTCCTCATCGATTCACCTGGGTCGGCTTCTTCCCCGGAGCGGCTCCAGGCGGGAGGCGCGGCGAGCTCCTCCGCACGGCAGGCAGGAGGCGCGGCGACCTCTCCGATGCGACAGGCTGCTCGCTGGTGATTGCGGGAACGTGGGTTCACGATGCGCAGGTGACCGTCGGGTGCCGCACGGGATCTCCCGATGAAACTCTCGGCCCCTCAATGCGCGTTTCATTCGGTTTCATCGGCATAGGTAACTGAGCCAGTTGAGTTTCGTCCCCACAAAACTCTAATCATCTCTCTCTTTATAATTATCATGACAAGTCATCTAAAATACTGATGTATCATAGTAATTAATAAGAATGAAACCCTTATAAAACCTCCATCGAGACTGGCCTTACTTTCCATTTCCACGAGCAGATTCCCAGGCTCCGCGTCCGCGTGCCGGCGTGAATGGCTGCACGGACGCGTCACGCAGGCGTCCAACCGGGGCGCGTCCGCGCGTGGCGACGGCCGAATGGCAGGGCGTGCGGTGCGGCGCTCGGCGCGGGGAGCGCGCAGCCGCAGCCGCAGCCGCAGCCGCAGCCGCAGCGGTGCTCGCGTCCTGCTCGAGGCTGTGTCCACTAGCCGTCCAGCCGACAGCCCGACACATGCGTGACGCTGATGTGTGATGATGATGCAGTAGTCTTGGGCTCTTCCGCTCTTCATTCTTGGCTGTGTGTGTGTGCTTTGACTTGGGATACTGCGGCAAGTCCATGAATCATCTTCCAACTAATAGAGCCAGACTGGTCCACTCTGGACTGCTGCCAATACTTCATCTTGAGGCAGTACCTACTACACTAGTACATACTCCTAGATTACTTCGGTCTTGGTGTTTTGTTTTCTTTGCTGCTAATGTACTGCTACTGGTTTATCTCGAGCATCGACAAGCGGAAACTAGCCTAGAAAACTTAGGACGGTGGTTTCTCTATAAATTTAGGCCTTTGTTTGGATGTCCATGAATCCACCTCAATTCACACCAGTTTTGATGGAAGATTTAGAGCGTGTTTAGTCAATATGATAAATTATGACATGACAGATCAAACTTATTTTAAAGGGTGTTTAATTTAAAGACAAATGGGATAAATTCATCTCTAAAAGAGAATATTCTCCCAATAATTAGGACGGCTCGTCTCTAAAAATAAACAGCCAGATTCATCCCAATACAATGAAGTCTCCCTCCTTCATGACCGCCTCGTCTCTGCCTCACACCACCACAGATTAGCCACTGTTGTCGTTGGCACCTGTGTATTGTCTCTGGCACCAGGGTGTGGCCCTCCACCCTCTGCTGTCCTTTGGTTCTCCTCATATCGGAGCATAGTTCTTCTTTCCACCGCCTTTTGCATCTTCGTGCA